AGGCCAGATTTTGGCTCCGGCACTCAGGCAACAGTCCTGAAAGGTGCCACTTCTTTTCCCTTCTCCATGCCCTTGAGGAAGAACTTCAGCTCTGCCTTCCAGCAAGATGATCTAACCCAGAATCTTGCTCAGCAATTTTTTCCCCTTCTCTACCACAGTGTCTTGTCACTAATGAAATAAAAGAGATAACTACACAGCTACGTCTGCACCCCACATATAAGACAGTAGACACGAAATAACCTCCCTTGAGTCATTCACTCCACAAACATGGAGAAGTGACTTCTTTCGAGTGGAGATGTCCCCTGAAGGTGGAGATTCTGAGAGAAATCAGGTGGCCTGTGCCATCCAGGAGCCCCCAGCCTAGTAAGGGACAGCCATCCAGCAGATGTTACGATAAAATGTCAAGAAGCTCTGCTATTTGCCCGGAACACAATGTGGGCAGGAAGCAGGGAGTGGTGAACATTATTGGGTGGGGAGAAGTTCAGGAAATTCTTGGCTGAGTCTTGAAAGATGCACTGATATTTCCCCGGGGATGGAAGGGGTTGGAACAGAAGAAACTGCCTAAGTGTAGTGGTTCTCAAAGGGGTTGGGTGGGGGTGCAATACAGTTTTGCCCCCAGGAGACATTTATCAATGTCTACAGACATTTTTGATCATCACCACTTGGGGTGATGCTACAGGCGTGCTGCTGAACATCCTGCAGTGTACAGGACAGCCCCCTGCAACAAGAAAGACTGTCCCCAGTAGGTCAGTGGTGCCAGAATAGAGAAACCCTGTATTAGTGAAACTGCAGGTCACCCTGTGTGGCTGAAAACAAGGGTCAGATGTGAGGTGGCCCAAGATGAAGCTAGAGATGAGGAAAGGATCCAGTATAAGGCCCTTCAATGCCAAGTTTAAGAGTCTGGCTGTGGCACCCACTGGATCACCAGTCTGTTGTTTTGGGGGTAAATCACAGATAAAGAATTGGAGCACAGAGATGGAGGAGAGAGACACTAGTTAGGAAGCTATTCCAGAGGTTCAGTAAGAAATGAGGGGGGCCTGAGTGAGGGCAGCAGTGCAGTGGGAACAGAAAGGAGTTGACCCAGAGAAGGTGCATGGAGGAGGTAAAACCTGCTGGACTCGTGGTTGATGGGATGTGCTCAGCGGGGAGGAGGAGGCCAGTAGACTCTGGCTTCTGGCCAGAGTCACCCAGAGGATGTTGGTTTTGGAAGTGCCTGCGGGGCAGGCTGGTGAGCATGGCTGTGGGACATGGGGACCCAGCAGTGCAGTGGCCGCCTAGTCAGGGCCATCCAGACACACAAGTGCCAGCCTCCGGCTGTCGTGAGCAGAGCCACCACAGAGTGCCTGGGGAAGGTAGAGTCCTTTTCGTTATATTTTGTTAACCTAATGGTAACGAAGGAGTCCAGGAAGAGAATCTGAAAATCTGGCAGTTTAATTAAAGGTAAATGGCAGATGGAGGGGAATTCTGAGGCTCCCTAACCCATCATGCTCCCCCGCCCCACCACTGAGGCTGGATATCAAAGGAGGAGACACCAAGCTAACCAGAAACCTGATGAGAAGTATTACAGCATCAGAGCCACTTTGCCAGCGCCTGCGACAGCTTCTAAAAACTCCTGCCACCTTGAATTAACCTCTCTCCCCAGGTGTGCACTTCAGTGGGTGACCAGGTAAAGGACTCTGGGAGCCTGCCAGGAGGAGCGGGTGCTTTTCTCCTGACGAAATCCGGCTCCCTGGGCTCTGTGCCTGTGACGTCCCTCTTTGAAAACCCGATTTTCCATTTATGCCTTGAAGTTAGGTTTGGCTTGGAGGATCATGTGTCACATTAAACACTGGAGCAGAGGGAGTGGGGCTGATTTTCCTGGGCCGGATGCCGTGGATCCGAATGTCAAGCAGGGCCTCAGAGACCAAAGCGGAGGGTAATTATCACCTCTCCTCCACAAGATTGCAGGAGTCAGCGAGCAATTGATTTTTTTCCTACTACAGATATTTCACCGCTTAATTGGTAGTGACACAGATGGCTGGCTCTCACCAGGGTGCCGCAGACCAAACCTCCCAAAAGCAGGGCCCGCGGGGACATCTCTCCCTCTAGTCTGATCTCTCAGAGCACATCCTCCGTCACGTGGGGGTGAAGGCAGGCTGACTCCTTGCTCATCTTTTCAATTACAAAACAAAAGCGAGAGTGTATCCAGAAACACTTTCCTGAGCCAGTTCAAGCCCTCCCCAGCGATGGATTGTGAGTCAGCTTTGAGCTGGACACTGCAGAGAGTCTGGGAATGAGTAAACAGTGACTCTGGCCTCAAGCAGCACTTAGAGATAAGATATCAGGAGCCCTACAAGTTGGCGGAAGCTGTATTCTGCTGGAATGAAGCCTGCAGTGTCTTGTTAAAACCCTCCATGATCCAGCCCCACCCCATGGTACTTACCTGACACCTACCCTGACCTGTTCAGGCCAGCTGTTGTCTGTTGTTTGTTTTGGACCTCAAGTGCCGAGCTGACTGTGAGCCTCATGTCGTGGTCCACTGTCATCGGTCCAGGGAAGGCCCCTCTTACTTTACTCTCTCCTTCCCTCCCATTCCTTTCTCCTTCCTTTCTCCTTCCTTAATACATGTATTCAGTGTATGTCCTTGAACATGTCTGTATCCTTGAAAAGCATGCAGAGTTATTGTACTTAGTGTGTTTTTATTTACATAAATAGTATTGGGCTGTAGACCTCATTCTCTAACATTTTAAGTCGAACTATCCATTTTGAAAAGAACTCTCCAAGTTCCGCCCATGGAACTAGTTCATTGCTTCTGTCTACTGCAAAGTCCTCTGTCATGTACACCCCTCGCATTTTTCTCACTCATTCTTCTAGAGATGGACATCTAAGTTGTTGCCAACTCCTTGTTATCCCAAGGAAAGCTACAGTGATTGTCTTTGTTCCTGCCCCTTGTAGACCTGTGCAAAGATCCAAAGGTTCCCTGGTTGTAGGTGTACAGAACCTGAAATCCATGAAGCCCTATCCTTTGCTCTGAGAAGTAGCTGCACCAGCGTTGCCTCCCACCGGCAGTGAATGAGGGTTCCCCTTTCCTCACATGCAGCATTTAGGATTGTCCAACTTTCTAGTTTTTAGTTAATGTTATAGTTATAAAGTGGTATCTCTCTTTTATCTCTTTGCTCTAATTTGAATTTTTCTGACTACTAATGAGGCCTGCTTCTCTTTATATACTTATTAGCCCTTCAGGTGTCTCCACTAGAAATTGCCTATCCATATCCTTTGTCCATTTTTCTAATTAGTTTCCTATTTTCTTGCTGATTTGCAGGGATCCATTGTATATTATTAATTTCTTTTGGTTGTAGACATTGCAAATATTGTCTCCCTATCACCTGTCAGTTACCTTTGTCTATTGACATCTTTCTTTAAACGGGAAATCCCTAATTTGTCAAACGCATCTTTTAAAGTTTTATTTACCTTATGATTCATGCTTTTGGAATCTTAAGAAATCCTTTCTTACTTATGTTATGAAGATATTTTCTTACATTTCATGAATTCCTTTATTGTGTCTTCTACATTTAGGCATATAGCCTACCTGAAATTCACCTTTATATATGGTGTGAGGTAGGGATCCATTTTATTTTTCTCTGTTTAGTATGCCAATTTTCCTAACAGCATCTACCAAACAGTATCCTTTCTCTACTAAGTTGTAATTCTATCTCTATTAGACTTAAGTTTTATGAGTGTGTGTAGGCGCCTGTATATTTCTTGTCTCTCCTTTCTGTTGCATGGTCTATTTGTCAGTTCCTACCTCACGGTTCTTATTAATTTGGCTCTGCAGTATGTCTTACTGTCTAGTAGTTAAGTGTCCCCTTTTAGCTTTTCTTTTTCAAAACTGACTTAGCTATTCTGGATCTTCGTTCTTCCTCACATCTTAGAAATATTTGAGCTCCTCAAAAACTTCTACTGAACTTTCATTGGAATTGCATTGGATTTTATTAATATGAGGAGAATTGGATTTTTAAAACATGAAATCATTTAATCCATGAACATGATTTATCTCTTCATTTATTCACATATTTTAACTGTCCTTTAATAGAATTTTCTAAATTTCTTCATAAAGGTATTAGTTCCTAAATATTACATGTTTAAGTTGTAATTTTGAATGGATTTTATTTTTTTTCTTAATTGATTACTGTTGTAGTAAAAGAATGCTATTCGTTTTTGTAAATTTTGCTTGTATTTGGCAATCTTGCCAAATTCTATTAATCACACCATTTCCTCTGCATCATGGGCACAGTGCTTGGGCCCAACAAGAAAATCTTGCCACTGGAGCAGGAGGTTTGTGTAGGAAAACAGAGGAAGCTAAGGTCAAAAAAGCAGCTCTGTGTCAGGCTGTAGAAGACCTTGCCTTCTAGGATGGATAATCAGGACTGGCTTTTGGAAATTAAGGGTCCTGGGACTTTGATTTGAGAATAGAGTGGGATGGCCTGGACACCTGGAGGCCGGGGGAGCCTGAGCTGCCTGGAACTCTGCCCCGATCTGTGCTCCCGGAAGCACGGGGCTTTGCACAGCTGCAGGGAGATCAAAGTACAGAAAAAGTGGTATCTGAGCAGATCTGCAGCTTGTGGAAATCAGTCTGTTCCATGCATCTCAGGGATTGTGTCTTCTTGATGCAAAGGCAGCAGGAACAACCTTCCTCAGCCTCCTAGATCTCCCCTGATACAGCTTCTGGTGAGCTGCTGGAAAATCCCCAGGGTGGGTGATGGGGCTTTGTCAAGGATGAAGTGCAAGCAGCATGGCCTGCGTCCTCTGCACCACCTTCATTCACCAGAGCAGAGAGCCCATCTCCTGGGCTCAGATGTGCTCAGAGGTGGGTGGGGATATGCAAAACCCAGGAGTGGTGCAGACGGCATTTTTGACTCTTGGCCACCACTTACCCAGCCCAGCTGGTCCTCTGTGGGCCATGGCATGATTCTGTAGGTGTGTGGTCACCACATGCCTCACTGGTGCCCTTCTCTGTTCAGGTCATAGCTGTGGTCATGGACCTCTTCACTGATGGCGAGATCTTCCAAGACATTGTGGATGCTGCCTCTAAGCGCCGAGTCCCAGTGTACATCATCCTGGACGAGGCAGGCGTGAAGTACTTCCTGGAGATGTGTCAGGACCTGGAGCTCGCTGACTTCCGTATTCGGGCAAGTTGTACCAGTCCGGGGCGGGGAGAGGGGCGGGGTGACGGAAATGGGACAGGACTGCCTCTGCCTCCTCCCCCCGTACTGGGGCCCAGGTGAACGGCACTCTCAACCCCTTTCCTTCTGTCTAAAATCTCGCCTCGTGAGCTGATAACCCCCAATTACATGCCCAGCTTACCTTTTATCCCAAGGCTGCCAAGGCTAAGGAGGCAGGTCTAGCCCAGCTCTGAATGCTCACCCTGCGGAGTCACTGTCAGGGTTAAAGGTAGGCTGTGTTTCTCTTCTGAGGAGCTTTGGGAGCAGACAGGGGCCACCCTGGGCCTGTCTCTGCCCAAAGAAAGATCTGCTGACTCCTCAGGCCGTAGGAAGCAGAGTCAAGTACAAACAGGAGCCAGTAGGCAGGGTCCTCTGGACAAGAGGGCTCCTCCTCTGCCCAAGCAGAGGCTCGGCTCAGAGCTGCTAGGCCCCCAGCCTTAGTGACAGTGCCTTCTCCTCTCCTCAACAGAACATCCGTGTCCGCTCTGTGACAGGTGTTGGCTTCTACATGCCCATGGGGAAGATCAAGGGGACCCTGTCATCCAAATTCCTAATGGTGGATGGTGAAAAAGTAGCCACTGGATCCTACAGGTGAGTTGAGACAGGTCAGAGAAGGACCCGGGAGGCCTTTGTGCATGGTCATCAGTAAATGAATCATGCTCAGAAAACTGCTGGACTAGAGCCTCCAGTCATGAGTTTAAGTTCTAACAGCAAAGAGGAGCCTCCTGGCCGATCCCTTCCCTCAAACTCTCTGGCTAATGGATTATTCGAGAAAGAGGGTCAACTCTTGCTGGGCATTAAGCACCGCCTGCCTTTCAGGGTCTGCAGCAACGGGTTGCATTTTGAGGCTGGTTGCTAGGTGGGGCAAGCAGGAAGCAGAATGGACCAGATCTGGGAAAGAGTGTGAGGGTGTGGCATGGAGGGAACGTCTCCTGAATTCTGATTCAGACGTAAATTACCAGGAACATGAGAGATGATATCTGTGCAGTCTCTGCCCTGTAAGTAACTTAAAATCTGGGTGAGGAAAGGAGACCCGGGCACATGAAACAAGCAGTAAATGGCGTAAGTCCTCCTCCATGATTAAAGTATAGGATTTTGCAGATACTGAGTTTTCTAAAATTTCAGACAAGAACCAATAAGGGATAGAAGGCTATTAACAATCGTTGCAGCTGCAGAAGCTACTTATTAAATGTATGTTGTGCCAGGTACTGAGCAAAACGTCTTACTCACATTATTTGACTTGAGCCTCACAGCATCTCTGTGACTGCACACCTTACGAGCCTCATTTTACAAGGCACACAGGGCAGAAACCAGGTTTGCTTCCAGGTCTGACTTCTCTTGCCCTTGCTCTGCACTCACTGCCTGCTTTCTGCATTCGAGGCCAGGACCTGGACAAAAAGGTGGATTCAGATATGTGGGAGGATTGCACCCCAGCATGCAGGCAGCAAGGCATCTGGCCCCAGTGAGGAAACCGGTGGGCAGGGCACTGGGGCATTGAGGTGGGCTTGCTAAGGGGCTGCTGGCAGGGCGAGGCCGCAGGCCCAGGCACATATGTCTTGCTCTTCTGTCCCCACGTTCCCAGGTTCAGCTGGAGTTCCTCTCATGTGGACAGGAACCTTCTCCTCCTCCTCACGGGGCAGAACGTGGAGCCCTTTGACTTGGAGTTCCGGGAGCTGTACGCCATCTCCGAGGAGGTGGACTTGTACCAGCAGCTGGGCCTGGCGGGAGGCGCTGGCAGGCTCGGCCTCAACTACTCCTCCACCGTGGCCCGCAAGCTCATCAACCCCAAGTACGCCCTGGTGGCAGGCAGCCGCCACCCGCCCGGGGAGATGATGCGCTGGGCCGCCCGGCAGCAGCGGGAAGCCGGCGGCTACCCGGAGGGGCAGGAGGAGGCCAGCAGGAATGGCGAGTCCGCCCGGCGCCTGGAGAGCTTCCTGCATGACCTGGTCACGCTGGAGCAGGTGCTGCCCCCTGTGGAGCCCATTCCCACGGGAGAGCTGACTCGGAAGGATGGCAGGGTGGTCTCCAACCTGGACCTGAAGCCCAAACCCCGAGAGACACTCGCCCAACACGGCAAGGGAGAAGCCAATGGGGAGGCCACCCCTGCCAAGGAGGGCAGGCGGTTCAGCAGCAGGTTCTTCAGCCGACGAATCAAGAGGCCTGCAGCGCCCAACGGCACAGCCAGCGCCCTCCCCCCCGAGACGTTGGCCGAGGTGGAATTTATGAGGGGGAAGAGGCCCAACGAGGGCTCCAGTGCTGACGTCTCAGGTGAGCCCTCCCACCGAGCCCAGGGCTCCCAGGCCTCTGGCCCTGATCCAGGAGCATTTGCAGGGTCTGCAGGAAAGCACTTGCTGGCAGGCAGAGCGGGAGCTCGGAGTCAGGCAGACCTCAGGTCCTGGTCTGCTCTGGCCTGTGTCTGTGAGTGGCTGGGGGCAGCCACTGCAGGTCGGAGTTTGTTTCCTCTTTTCTAAAAGCGGAGAGTGATGCCTGCGTTGCCCACTGTTCTGAGGATGTGTGCTGGGCACGGAGTAGCCTGAGAGCATTGTTGCCACTACTGGAAGCTGGGAAAGTTTCTCCCCCGTGAATGAAGAAGCAGGGGCCCAGCACAGCTGAGAGGCAGGAACAAGGCTCCGCCCCGGCCTGAATCTAGGGCTTGTTCTAGCAAACCTTGTTCCTGGCCGGATCACTGGTCATCGGGATCTGGCCTGGTCAGACACACCCCACCAACGCCCTGACCCACTTTCCTAGCTTCTGTTGTAAAGAGCTTGAGGTGGCTCCTCCCTGTGTTTATTTGATACAGGGCTGTATCAAATGGTGGTGTTTGCCATGCTGCTTACTCCTGCGAGAGTGTTCCTGGTGGCGGTACCTTTCTGGCTGTCTCTCTGGGATCCCTAGAAGTCCTGGCCTTTACCTCTTTCTCTGGAAAAGTCTCCAGAGTGGCCTTTCCTGGCTGGTGTTGACAGCCAGGGCCATTGCTCATGCCTTTCTCATGTCAGCACCTCTGAGTTGAAGGGGTTTCCGTGTTGGGATTTCTCCCTTCATTGTGGTGACGCTTTGCAGCTTTGAGATTGAGCCCCTTGGCTGGCCTGGTAGGTGACGGCAGGGCCTTGCCTTGGGCAGCCTGAATGCTTCTAGAATTCCTGTGTCCCCCAAGCCCCATCTTTGACCTGGCAGTGGCTGGAGTGCAAGTTTCACAGCTGTCTTACCCTCCACTGATTGCCTAGCCCTACTACAGAGCCCAACATATGCTGTCTGTGCCTCTTAAAGTTAGGACAGGCCTGGAGTCTCTGAGAATTTGGGCACAGCGGGAGTGCCAGTGCTATAGCTGCATTTGGCCAGGAAGCATTTACTGATGCCGCCATGTGCCAGGTCCTTCACTAGGTGCTCTGTCTCACCTGGCCCCCACAGCAATCACGGAGGTGGCAGATGGAAGCTCAGAGAGGTGAATTAAATGGTTCCAGGACCCAGTAAGTGGTAGTGGGGCCAGGATGCAAATCCAGGCCAGTGCCCATGTCCTGTCAGGAGGGGTACTGACCCCCATCCCATCCCCCCTGGGCTCCCGGGCTCCCCTAACACCAAATGCTGCCGCTGCCCTGCACCTCTTGTTTGGAGGAAGGGTTACCATGGTGAACACCTGGCAGGGAAGGGAGGGGGAGTGGCAAGCCCAGCCACAGAAGGGGCCATTTCCCAGGTCCTGACTGGAGGTGAAGTGGGAGCTTTCTCTTTCTCAGCCCCTCACCCGGAGGTGCTGTTTCCATAGAAACAAAAGGCTGTTGTCTTATCCCTTCCTGCTTCCTTGGGCGAGTCTCGGCATCAGGTTCCCCTGCTGGATGATGTGATCGGTCACTGCTGCTGCTGCTTCTCTCTGAGTGTTTGCACAGGGTGCCCAGGAGCCAGGCAAGCAGTCAGGGACAGTGCCCTGTGTGAGCTCCTCTCCTGAGTGCCTGGCATCCAGACAGACAGAGGCAGAGGCAGAGGGAGAAGGGCAAGCTCAAGGGTGCACAGGCACGCACGAGGGATGCTCGGCAAGACCACCCCGTTCCTTCTCCGTCCTTTAGAAGGAACACAGAGAAGCCTCATCCAGCACAACCTCTGTGCTCCTGGATGGGCGGCCAGTACCTGAGGGCCTGGAATTCAAGTCCCTAATGAGACCTTTCCTCTCCCTGCTGCTTTCTTTCCTCAAAGGCAGGGCAAGAAGCAGGGACTCCTCTCCCCAAAGGCCCTTTCTATGGCCTCCAGCCTCCCGAACGTTTGACTGCAGTTTAGTGCCTCCTCTCAGGCAGCAGAAGCTAATTAGCAGGATTCTATGTGCTAGAAGGTCGGGTTCCTGACAGCACGGGGTCCCCAAGGCTGGAACTAGTAGTCCTAGTGCACCTGGAACCTAGTACACAGATTTGGGAGGAAATCACTTTGGCTGCTATCTTAAGGCCCCCTTCCAGGGAAGGGATCCCTTTCCTACAGTGAACATTCAGAGCATCATCAGAACAGCCATCGGGTGGATCTCAGCTTCCAAAGCCTGGACACATCCTTTCACCTCCCTGGGGCTGCTTCCTGGCTGAGAAGAGGAGGGGTTGAGCCTGGGAGGGTTCCAAAGCCCCTCTGAGCTCTGATTCTGACTCTGTCCTTTCTGTCTGCTGCCCTCTTGTCAAGGGAGACCCCGGGCCAGTGGCAGGGTGGGTGAAAGAAAAATAGAAAAGCCAAGAGCTGACAGCCTGTAAAGTTGCTTGATAAGAAGTATATAGTTGTCAAACATTGCAAATTTTTGCGTACCCAGCTGTGGCCCTTGGGAGAACCTGCAGAATTGCTTCCTCTAGATGTGGCAACCCAATGAGGGCGGCCCAGTGGATTGAAGGCTCATAGCCCCCTCTACTGGCGGAAGCCAAGCTTTTCCTCTCGGCTGAGACCTCACTCCTGTGCGCAGCATGCTGCCCAGCACCTTTCCTGAACCGGCCACCTGTGCCCATCCAGGAGCTGGGGACTCTGGGCAGAGACCCCAACCTCAGGGAACAGCAGTCGCCAGAGAGCCTTGTCGAAAGACAGTGAGGACCCTGTCCTGCTGAGCGGGGCTCAGGAATCTGCATTTTAAATAAGTGCCCTGAATATTTTCCCAGGTAGGGGTCCCCAGAGCCACAGATTTGGTGACACTCGGACAAGGTTCTGTAGGGGGCTGCCAGGCTTGGAGAGGCAGTTCCAGGTGATGTCCTGAAGCCCCTCCCAATCCCCCTAGGGAGATCCCTGGGACGTGGCCAACACTCTCGGGCACAGTTAAGAGGAGGAAGAAAGGCAGACTTTTACTGAGCACCTGGCATGTGCGGGGTGGACACGGTGCTAAATGCTTTCATACACTGTTTGCATATTCTTTTCTATTAACCTGAGTGGGTCTGCTTGGCTTCAGTGTCTGCTGGGCGCACATGGGCTGCTGGTCAGTGTCCCTGGAGGAAGGATGGAGCATGAGGCCCTGTTCCTCAGCCTGGCCTCCTGTCAGAGGCATGGAGATGTATTCCGAGTGGGAAGCACCTCTCCAAGCTCTTCTCCAGCCTCGTAAAATGAGTGGGAGAGTGAGGAGCCCGCCCCGGCCCACGGCTCTGCTCCTGCCTCTCAGGAAGTTGCTGCCCTGGCTCCCTTCTCCCCGCAGCCACATTCCTCCCTGCTGCAGAATCCAAGATTGATTTCCTTACCTACCCCCCCCGGGAGGAACTCGGCATCTGCTCAGAAGGCCAAGCAAATAAAAGGAGCCGCTAAGGAGTGGAAGTGGGGCCGGTCGTCCACTGCAGCAGTGTGAGAAGGGCGGGACGCAGCGGGCATGACTTCAGCAGGGCCACACCAGAGGCAGCCTCCACGCCTGGAAGGTGACCCAAGCCCCTGGAGCCTTGGTGCCCTGGGGGCACAGCCGTCCAGCTCCCCACCCAGCTACTGGAAGTTCTAAGTGCTGTCAGCGCGGCCTCCGAGGAGGCTCAGCTGGACTTGCAGCAGGTCCCAAGGACCGAGTCCAGTCCGGCCTGGATGAGGTGGTGGTTAATGGGGCAGGGCAGGACCAGGGCTCTGTTCAGGCCTGTTCAGTGTCCCTCTTGCTAATGGCCCAGGAGAGGAGGCAGACACCACCCTAGTTAAATTCACAGCCAAGGTGATACAGGAAGGTGGTGTGAGCACTAGGGAGAGGACCTTGGCGGATGGAGAGAAACCAGCAGGAAATGTCAGCAGCGTCCAGCGCTCCAGGAGGCTGTGGTCACCACCCAACACCTCACAGCAGAGCGGGACACTTTGTATCTGCCTCTGCCTCACGGCTTCCCCCTCCCTCCCACTGTGGTCTGAGAGCTGGAATCCAGCCAGTCTCCACTAAGGATTGTAAAGGAAGTGGAAACAGATGGAGGGGGCCAGGGAAGAGGAGAACTGTGCTTCCCTGGCTTGGAGAAGAACAGCTTTCTCCTCCTTCTTTCCTCTCAGTGAAGTGTGTTCCCTCCTCCACTTCCACCTTCCCCACGAAGCCACGTGATCTGTGCCTCGGTGCTGGCCCGCCTGGCCCTCAGGTAGCCTAGTGAGCCCTTCCCAAGGCACAGGCTTTTCCTCTTCAACCTGGTGCCTGAGTGCTGGGAGGAGGGGAGATGGGGCTTGGCAGACCGAGCGCTGGGGCTGGCCGGCCCTTGGAGCCGGTGGCCGGCTGTCCCTGCTGTAAGATAGGGTTGAGGTGCCTCCTCGTGGCATGGCCACCCAAGGATTACCAACAGTGACTATGGTTGCACTTTGTAAGCTGTGAAGCTGCCTGTGGTGTTAGCTACTGGTGAGCTGCCTCTTGGCAAGATGTGTAGATATTGATTTGGGGGTCTGGATCCTCCCCCTCCCCTGCAGAGGTCAGGAGATGGCAGATCCCTCGATGTGCCAGCCAGTGGTGGTCTTGCTAAGGCTGTTGGGGCAGGGAGAATCTTTCCTTTTGCTTTCCTGGGGACCCTACTGACCTGGTTTCCAGGTTAGCAGCTTAGGAGGGAGATAGTGACCCCAGAACTCAAATTTGAGGTGTGGGTGGTGCACAGAAAAGGGGCTGGGGGCCAGTCCATTGAGCACTTCACTTACATCCTCCCTTGCCCGTGTCCCTGTCTCCGCAGGTAAAACAAGTCCCAGCCCTACCAAGGCCAGCAATTGCGTGATTTCCTGAGCCAAGGGCTAGCTGTCGGCAGGACCTGTGGGTGCCCCTGTTCCATCCTGTGGAGAACACAGGTCAAAGCCCGCACCAGTTTGCACATCGGACCCCTACTGGCCTTCTGCCCCAGCAGCCTCCATTCTGGCCTCAGGGACCTTGAATCCCAGATGTGAGGGTCTGCAGCATCCCAAGATTGTCACATGCCTCCACAAGACTGTCGTGGCTGGGCAGGGGTCACCCCTTGTTTACATGAAGTGGAAGCTTGACCAGTGTCCTCTCTCCTTTATGCCCAGCACCACCCCCTGCTGCAGGCCCCCAGACCGGGAGAGCCCATGTCTTCATACCTTAATGTGAAATGTGATGGGTCTCCAGGGCAGCCCCCACCCCTGACTTCCCCTTCCCTGGGCTTCCTGGTGCTGCTGGTCCCCCAAGAGGTTTGGTGGAACAGAAGGAAGAGGACAGGGCTCTGAGCCAGGGTTCCAGTCTCGCTCTGTCCTCTGAACTCAAGGCAGAAGATGCAGTGAGGACAGCCAGGGGACTGGCTGCTGTGGCCTTCCTGGCCTGTCCCTGCAGGCTTCTGCACTAGACTCTGGATGGAGTGAGGGGAAGGCCTCGCCGCAGCCAGCGGCAGAATTTGACCCGGCCGTGGTGAGAGCCCAGTACTGAGGTCTCCTTTCCCTCTCCCAGCACCGTCCTGGCAGGCTCTGCCCCAAGTGAACCAGGCCTTCTTGGCTGCTGCCTGCTGCAAGCCAGTGATCTGGAGGTTCTTCTAGTGCCTTTACCTGACGTGGCTCCCTACCTCTAGTGCCTTGATTTGCAGCCCAAAGCAGGGAGAGAGCGCCTGGCTGATGTCCCATGGTGTGGGAGGCTGGGCCCTGTCGCCAGAACCGTTTGCCCTTCCCCCACCCCAGAGATGGCCCTCTGTCCCCTTTGCCAGCCAAGACTCATGTGCCTTCTCTAGTTACATTTCAGTCGAAGACCAGCTGTGACCTCCTACCAAAGTCAGACTGTATTGAGGAGCCTCAGTTTCCTGAAAGGGCCTGGCCTAACTGACACAAAGACAGCCTAACCGTGCACACTGTTCCTTCCCTTGTGTGACAGGAACGGGGGATGGATCTGCAGAGAGACTTCTCAAGTGGACAACAGAGAAACCGCCAAACTGCAGGCTCTGTGGCCAGCCCTGCCTCAGGCCAGGTGCTGGCGGATCAGAGCCGCTGGGGAGCCCAGGGCTGGAGTGCCTGGGGGAGCACCCGGCTCAGCCTCTCTCAGCCTCCTACTCCAGAACCAAACTCTTGGTCCTCCTGTCTTTCCTTCTGCAAAACCCCGGGGCACCAGCAGCACCTTGAGGAGGGGCCCAGGTGTCTGCTGGCACCTGATATGGGAGGAGCAAAGGGAGTACTGAGCATCCTCTGAGATGAGCCCGGCCTCCCTGGTGGGGGAGAGGGGCAGGGAAAGGAAGGGTGCACCTGTCCTGGGGGGCGAGGGGCCCTGACCCACCTCCCTGAGCTTCTGTGAGGATTTAACACTTCCTGGGAAGTGCTTCCTTGTGCACCAAGGCCTGGCGATGTGGCCCTGCTTGTTCTGGTGGGGAGGAGTGGAAAACGAAGTTGGGGGTTACACCTCAGCTCAGTGCTGGGGGAGAGAGGTCACCCTTGGTGAGGAGAGTGGACCTGTGGGGACAAGGGAGGAGGCAGAGGAGGGGACCAGCTCCTCAGCAATTCTGCCAAGGGCTGCTGATGCCTCCCCTGTGAGAGAAGCAGGCTACTGAGGCCCTTTTGCGCCTCCTGATCCAAAGCAGGCCCTGCTCCCCCATCCCCTGCCCTGATGGCCGGAGGATCCAGACTGGAGATTCCAAGTCACTGCAGCCTTGAGCCAGGCCGTCTTTCCAGCCCCAGGTTCTCCCTGAGCCAATGTGGGGTTATTCGCACTCTCTTCATAGAAACAAAGCAGGTGGGAGATCCTATGAAGAGGAGGCTACACAGTGTCGTGGGACAACTGCCGGCCTGGGAGGCAGGGCACCTCCCCCCTCCACCAGGGGCTCTGCTCATCTGCTCATACCAGGTGACCTCTGACCCCCTCCAGCTCTAAGATGCTTAGGAAGAGACAATAATCCAATAATCTTGGACTGAAGATCTTGAAGTCCTAAAATGCAGCTCCTAATGTTTGCTTGTCTGCCCAAGCTCCAGCCCACTCCGTTCTGCCTCCTGACTTCTCAGTTTTTGGTCCGTGTGCCCTCTGTTCCAGCACTTGCTTGTACTTTGTGAAATATTCTCTCTCATCAAATCTCAAGGGGACATCTGGCCTTCCCAGCTGGATGGCAAGTTCAAGGGTGGATCATGCCCTTGGTCCCTCTGCAGCTGCTCCCACCGGGCTGGTAATGTCAGAAGGGCTCCGGGAGGAACAGGAATGAAATAGTGCTCCAGGTGTGAGGCCTGGCTTCGCTTCCCACACCTCACCTGCACCGCCAAGCTGCCCACTTTCCGAGTCCGGCCCTTGTAGGTTGAAGGCCAACAACTGGCATAGCTCCTTAGGAGGGTGACCTTGGATGAGCAGAGGCACTTGAGGGCTGAGACCCTGGGGCTGCTGTCCCCCAGACCCTGCCCCACAAGAGCAGGAAGCACCAGACTCCGCGCAGAGCTGGGAGGCTTTCCCTTTAGATTTGGCAAAAATGTCCCAGCCTCCTTCATTAGAGGTCCCTGGGGTGTGGTTAGCCCTAGGCCTGATCCTTGAGACAGCCTCTGCTAACAGCACCACCCTGTGCCCGTATGGAGCTGAGCAGAAAGGCTAGATGGAAAAGGAAGCCTTCAGATGTGGAAGAAATTGGCTAGGGGCGGGGGGGGGGGCTTGCTGTGATGCTTTTCTCTTTCTAACCTACTGAGCGCCTACTGTATGCCAGTCACCGTGCTGGATGCTTCAGTCATCTGCAGGTTTCAAACTAAAAAGCTCAGGAAAAAGCCCTTTATTTACAGAGTTAACCAAAAGTTTTCCTGTATATCTGGAGATTGAGCCTCACAAAGTCATGTGATGAGCAGCTCAGGTCTTACTGCCCCATTTTTCAGACGAGGGAGTACATTGTTCTCCCCAAATCCCACAGCACGTAAAATGCAGATCTGAGCCCGCTCCCCCAGCTCAGGGCTTCCTGTCTTCAGCGCCAGTGACACTTTGGACACAAAATTCCCTGTTGGGGGACAGGCTGTCCTACACGTGGTAGGATGTTTAGCGGCACCCCGGCCTCTATCCACTAACTGCCAGCAGCACCCCTTCCGCTGAGACAACCAAAAATGTCCCCAAAGTTGCCAAATGTCTCTGGAGGTTAGAATCTCCCTGGCTGAGAAAGACAGCTCTCTGCTTTAAGCCCTGAAGGCCTACAGGCTGCTTCTCCGAGGTGCTTTCATGTGCAGACCTCCTGTAAAACAGACCTTTGATGGAACACTTTGACCCAGAGAGGCTGGCTGGCTCAGCCAAGATTTTGCTTCCTGTGACGGACACAACAGCGTCTTCCATCTCAGTTCTAGTTCCCTTGTTGAGCTCCTCCCCGCCTTGCAGTCCCCAGAACAGGTGTGTGCACCTGCACACAGCTGTCTTACCCTACTCGGTGCCCTGCCACCTTTGCTCCCAATCTGTTCCCCTTCCTTCATTCTCAGTGACATCCTGCACAGAGAGCAGCATGGGACAAACCTGTGCCAGCCCAGCAGTGTCCTCACCTTAAAAGGCAGCCAGGCTGACAGCAGAGAGACTTCCACACTCCACAGTGCAGGTCAGGTGGGGACTGCTACCTAGAGTGTCACAACCATGTTCTGAGTGAAGCCCCTAAGCAGCTAATTCGCCCTGCCCTGCACTCTGGATGTAGCCGATCACCTGGCCATGTGCCAGTCATTCCTCCCTGCCTGGAGGCCCCAGCGGCTGTCACTGGCATCGTCTGCACGGCTGTTTCAGCAGCTGGAGGTTTGGTGCAGAACAGGCACCCTGGGCCCAGCAAGCTGAGCCAGACCAGGGTTAAGAGGATGTGCACCCTAGGAAAGGTTGAGAAGCAGCAGGTGCAGATGTTCTCAGGGAGAGCCATCACTGAATCAGCCAGAAGGCTTTGAAAGGTTAGGCAGGTCTGATCTCACTCCTCCCCTGCGAAGCTTCTGCCCTCCCAGCTACGAGCCAAGGGAGGCCCTGCTGCCCACTACCCGCTCCGGCAGCACCTGCAGCTGCCCTGCACCAGAGGTACCCATTCTGCGTCTGGGGAACAGACACTGTCTTTCTGCCTCACTGTCGTATCCACAGTATCTGCTCCATAATGATTTGTTAAATGATTGGACACTTGACAGCCATTTGATACAGCGAATCAGACAGGTTAATCGATGTAGGTCATGTCAGATGCTCTGGAATTGATCGTGACCCTTTCAGTCTTGTTCCTGGCTTCTGAGATGTGCAAAGGCAGGACAGGATTCTACTCTCTTCTATTTAATGTTTTAAGGACTGCGTTTATCAAAAGTCCTTCCTAATCAAATCCTTTCTTCTGAGAGGGCTTCTTTCACATGTATCCTTAGTGGACTGTCTCATTTCCCATTTGCCCCAGGCTGGGCAGGCCCAGGTCTCCAGGCCTCTCTGGCTTCTCAGGGATGACCCTGTCTACATGCTTCTTTTAAAGCCTAACACAAAAGCAGGGGGCAGGAGATGGGCCTTGAGGTGAGGAAATGTATCCAAAGTCATCCAACAAGGCATAGGAAGGGCTAGAACCTGGTTATCCGGACCCTCCTAGAACACTCATGGCATCAGGTAGTCTCTCCAAGTGACAGCCATATGGAGACAAGTTTTCATCAGAAAAGTGGCTAGAAGTTAGGCATTGTCTGCAGCCACTAAAAAGCAGCTCCAGGAACAGATGTCCACATCGCAGGAGACTAGCTAGGACCTGGTACGGAAGCCAGCAAGTGTGCAGGGAGCCTGGAGGAGGAAGGGAGGAAAGCAAGAACAGGCAGCGTGCCCGCAGAATCCACGGTCCTCAGGGCTCCAGCAAGGAAAAGGCTCACCCACCCTGTGCTAAGAACCAAGAACCGTGCCTGGTGGGTCTCACTTCCTGAGTGCAGCTTGGACTCCCAGGTTAGTCTCCTGGAGGGTCTTGGAAGGTGGGAGATGGAACAGAGAAAGGCACTTCACTGCAGTACTTGGAAGGCTTTATTGATTTGTTTATTCAATCAATATTTACTGTGCTGTAGGCATAGTAATGAACAGTGAGCGAGGAAGGCCCTCACGGATTTAGGGCAGCGTCGGGGCATCCTGCTTGCTGCAGTCCGAGCTGAGGCTTAGGGGAGAGAGAGGACAGTCTGCAGAACGAGCAGGCTCATGATGAATTCCCCACTCCGCCTCATATTAACTGAGTGACCCAGCAAACTGCTCCACATCCAGCAAAGTAAAATGGGGGTAATCTTGGTACTGCTCTCCAGAAGCCGAAGGGAGTGAGGCCTTCAGCACAGTGGCTGACATGGAGGAGGGGCCCTGTAACCCGCAGGGCCTCTGGCAGCGTTACACTGGGGTTCATCACTTCCCTCCTGGGACATTCTCTCCTGGATTCTGTCCCCTGCGCCCTCCCTGAATAATTACCCCTATCACATTGAGTAGCTGGCACTCAGAGCTAAATGCTCAGCCACCTAGAAGAAGTTTCAAGGCACAGGTTTTGAGGAAAGAGAAAACAATAACAGGCGGGGAAAAGTTCCCTATGCTGCTTGGGAGCAGCTCTGCTCAGCAGGGCCCGAGTCCCCTGGTGCGTGCCCACATCCACCCTCACTCCCGCTCCACCTCAGCTCTGTGGGTTTGCTCCTTGTGACCACAGACGAGGGCCACTGTCTTACCTACTTGTGCAGAAGTCCCACAACTTTTCTTGATTGATAGTTCTGGGTAAAACAATTTTCCTTTGTCTGGAGATTCCTTCATATATAACACAAATTAAACCCAAATCAATGAAACAGCATGTCAGAAAAGCCTGCCGACCTGTGCCAAGCCACCGGTCTTCCGGAGCCAGTCCTGAACCCTCCGTGTGGCTCCAGACCCTGCCCGGCTTTCTTCCAGCCTTTCACGCTCACTCGCGGGCCGGGACTTGGGCCGGCGTCTTCCCGGCAGCCCCGGAGGGGCGGTGAGTCCTCCAGCAGCGCGCGGGGCTGAGAGCACGGCGGGGAGAGGCTGCCACCTTGCGGCCGCTCGCAGCGCCTCTCTTTCCTCCTCAGGGTAAGCGTGAGAAGGCAGAGGCCAGGGGTCGGCAAACTTTCACAAATGGCCAGATCATAAGTATTCTAGGCTTTGGGGACATGCGGTGTCTGTCGCGACCGCTGCTGCTGCAGCACTACAGCAATCTACAGGCAGTATGTGAGCGAGTGGGCGTGGCTGTTCCAATGAAACTTTATGGACACTGAAATTTGAATTTCATATCATTTTCCTATGTCACAAAATGTTACCTTTTAATTTTCCCACCTATTAAAAAGTGTAAAAATTATTTTTAGCTCATGGGCCGTGCAGAAACACAGTGGCTGGATTGGCCTGCAAGCCTTTGTCGACCCTTAGCCCGGGACATTTTCTTCCAGGCTCCTAGCACTGACTTCCAACTGTCACACCTGTGATCCTTCCTTACTTTGCCATTGCCATTATTAATCACCTCTGTCCTTGAGAAAGTCTTGGAATGAATAGAGAATTTATTCTCCTGCAATATTTTATTGTATAGAGGCACACTGTCATCAACAAAAGAAGCCAAAAGATTGTATATAAATGTCTGATACTGTGTACCAACCCCGGTTATTCTTCTAAAGCGAAGTATTCATGTACTTAAACCATATTCTATTTAATTGTGTTTGATTTAAAAAATATATATGAATCATATATCTAATATATATATGTATATAATATATAAAAAACAGATTGCTGCCACTGAGCCCTCTTCCTAATGGAAATTCTGAAGTTGTTGGTTTTCACTCATTTAAGTTTACATAAGTGTCCTTAAGTTTATATAAGGTGCCCAGCCCTGTGCTGAGGGCCATAAAAGAGCCTAGAGTTTTAACCAGCATGTGTTTAATATTTACTTTTATTCATTTTTTAGTTCAAGCAAACTTGCTGAGAACTTACTGTACCCCAGGCACTGTAATAGACAGACCTGGTTTCTGCCCTCAAGGTGTTTATAACCTGGTTGAGAAGATGGACACAGGGAGGCAAGCATGATGATGGAGAAGCACGGAGGGGCGAGGCGCGGAAGCCCAAAGGAGGCACTTAGCTCAGCCTGGGGGTGGAGGTCAGGGAAGGCTTCCTGGAGGAGGACATGATCTCTGAGCTGACACCTGAAGAGTGAATGGGGGAGGGGAGAAGGAGACAAGGCATTCCAGGAAAAGGCCCAGGGCCTGGAAAGAACTCTTTTGAGAGAATTATAAGTATCAATGACAGTATCTGCCCTCAAGGCCTCCCAGTCTGGTGGGTGAGACAGGCTATCACAAGCTGTTGTAAGGCTGGGGAGAGAGATTAAAATTTTCTCTGTAGCCTCATGGTAAGCAGTGGCAGGTGAGGGCTCTGAAGGCTGTAGGCACCTCCCACAGCTAGGGAGGCTGGGTCCGACTCTACACAGGTCCTGAGAGATCTCCGGGGAGAGAGACGTGGGCCTGGCTTCTCTGCCCCCGAAGCCCCTGAGGGGAAAAAGGGCTTGAACTGAGCTTCAGGGAAGTGTAGACCTCGGGACAGGGGAGGGAGGAGGGGCATCCTAGGCAGCAGGGACTGCTCTGCAAACTCACTGAGGAAGGAATGGGCATGGCCCAGCTGCGAGGCCACCAGGAAGTCCTCCTGAGGGTCCCCGGGAGGGACCCATCCTTCCCTATGTCATTCGCACAACTCCAACCAACAGGTGTCATTTTTCTCAACACTTCCAATTAAGAACTGTGATCTTTAATGGTTACTTAACCTCTCTGCCTTAGGTTCCTCATCTGTATCGACCTCATAAGGTTGTTCTGAGGATTGAATAAGATAATACCTATACAATCAGAACAGTGCCTGGCACCAAGACCAGCTTCATGGCATGAAGGCACCTAGAAGGCGAAGCATTGAACTTTTGCTTTAATGTTCCGCTGTTGCTGTCCTAAAATTCTTAATAATTTTGGAACGAGGAGCCCCCATGCTTTCATTTTGCATGGCCAGTCCTGCCTGGCATAGTATGTACTTAACACACTTTCGGTTTTATTATTATCTTAGAGTCTAGAATAACTAATCTGATTCAATATACTTATTTTAGAAATGAGGAAACTGAAGCTCAGATAGTTTACGTGACTCGCACAAGATCACACAGCAAATGATATGAAGGCTGGAGGGCTGAGAGCTGTGGTGAAGGCAGGACGGCGACCCAGCTCTGCACCCCCATGCCCACCCCACGTCTCCCAGAAGGCAACAGAAGGAGAGAAGAGAGACAGATTCCTTAGAAGGAGCTTAGAGAAAGAGGGGGAGATGAAAAAGAGCATGAACAGTTGTAGAAGTAGGAGGGGAGCTAGCTATTTTGAGGAACCAAGAGAAGCTTCTCAGCGTAAAACATAGTGGTGGAGCCATGGAAACCAGGACTGAGAAAGTTTCTTGGATCTAGGCCACGAAGAGGTCATAGATGAGCTTAGAGAAATGAGTTTCAGTAGAGAGTTAGGGTTAGAAGCCAGGTTTAAGGAACACGAGAGCAGGTGGCAGAGATGGCCACAGGGCATTATTTAAGAAGCTGAGAAAAGGAAATAGAGGGGGGAAGGGAAGGAAGGAAGGAAGGAAGGAAGGAAGGAAGGAGGGAAGAAAGTAATTTTAAAAGGGGTGGGAGAGGAGCCACATCCCAACTGGGATGCAGAGGAAGGACCATCAGAGGCAGTACTTTAGCCAGGAAGAGGGGCACCTCTTTCCCAGAGTCTGCAGGGGATGAGCTGATAAAGGCTATGAGGGTGACTGCTCATTTAGGGGCTGGCCGTCACCTCAGCAGCACTGTGGCACTTCCAAGGTAGACATCTCAGGGCAACACAGCAGCCTGGAAGGAGCTGACTCACTGGAGTCAGAGGGCCTGGGTCCAGCTGCACAGTCATTGACTGTGGTGAACTGGGGTAAGTTAGTCAGCCCTTCAGTCCCTCAGTTTCTCTACCTGGAAAATGGGCATAACCATGGTCATTGTGAAGATTAACTGCTATGATTCACGTAAAGCCCTCAGTACCATGTCTGACACACAGCAAATGTTCACAAAAAGGGCAGCTGTTACTAACAGCACACCTGGTTCTCCAGGGACGCCCCGGGGCTCTAGCATGGGCCAGCACATGGGAGGGGCTGGCAGTTCCTAGTGCTTCCCCAGGAACTTTTCAGGAAGTGTGGTCATAAGAAATGAGAGGTGATTTCGAGGTGGCACAGCGTCTGTCACAAGGGCTTTGTTGCACAATAAATGCTACCAGACATGTAATAAATGCTGATGATCCTGCGCTCTGTAATCAACACCCTCTAGAAAGTACCCCTCCCCCTCAGCTCTTGGCCTTGGCTGTGGCCATACCTACTGCCCAAGTGAGCCATATCCACTGTCAGCGATCCCCTTGCCTTTTGGATTCGGTTTTTTTTATAGGGATCTTCCCATGATTACAAGTTTGAGAACTGGAGAATGCTTTACAAACACTTCCAAATGCCTCACAGCAATTCGAGGCCAGTGCAAAGGGTAGAGGGAGTTCTCCTGTGTCACAGAAATCAGAGCTGGAGCCAGTCCAGCTGGCTATGTCACCCTAGCCTCGTGGGTCACTGCAGAATTGTTCGCAGAAGTTCCCATTGCATTGGATTTTGGCCAGGCCAACGCAATGTTTTCAGGGATCACAGAACAATCTCTCAGGGGAAAAAAGAGGAAGGTCTGTTGCTTGGAATGGCTTAGAGCACTTTTGGTAGCCATCCAAGGCAGCTGAAACTCTTTCAATCTGCCTTCCCCTCCAGCGAAAAGCCAACTGTATAGAACACCACATATAGAGCTCTAAGAATAGTATAACGCTCCAAGAACACACTGCACTTGGCCTGCGTGCAAGTGTGCGGGGCTTGGCGAGTCTTTTTACTCTCAAAGCTGGGTGGGCTGGAACAAACACAAAATATTTTCCCCAAGTAGCATGCAGAGGAGAAATGAGAAAGAGAGCCTAGGAGAGCACCCTAACATCTTATCCTCTGACCCGGGCTGCCTTTTCAGGGCATTGACTCTAAAGCCTGTGAGCTGTAAGGCAGTGAGCACAGCAGAGCACCTCCTCCCCCCATTCATTGACTCCACACTAGGCTGAGTGTCCTGTAACAGGTGGTAATCTGTCATTTGTTGCGACAGGAATTTGAAACCATCATCCTCCACAATAAATATTTGGTTGATTTACTGGTTTCCTTCCCATAAGTATAGAAAGTGAGGACGGGTTCCATCTAAAGGTGCAGCTCTGAGCTATGAGAGCTCTTCAAGTACAGACAAGACCCTAAACCACACCCCACTGTAGGAAGAAATCCACGTGAGCGTCTATTCCTAAAAGAGTCTGCGAAGATACTCTCCCTAATGGCGATTGGCTCTAGTAAGTGGGATTTGGGAGATACTTTCTACTTTAAAACTTTCTGTATTGTTTGAAATGTTCACTCATGTTACTTGAATGATCGGAAGAACAGCAATCTTATTTGCAAATTATTTTCCTGTTCTCAAGTGGGCAAACACTACAGGGTTCCTGGCTTCCTGCTTTCTCCTGGGGAGGGAAAGTACAACAGAGTGGAGGAGACAGACCCCTGAAGGCCCCCAAAGATTATAAGAACAGGCTTTGGCCACTCCCAGATATGCCTATCATGCTCTCTGGCCACAGAGAGCAGGCACTGCAGGTCACCACACATCTCCAGTCTCCTGCAGCTAATCACAGTTCATCCTTTAGTTCTCCTTGTAGATGTCACTTCTTCAGGTAAGCCATCTCTGTCCCGCCAAGACTGAGTCCCATGTCCCTCCTATGTTCTTCCAAGCTGTCTGTGCCGTGATTACCTGTTTACTTGTTGGCCACCCACACTAAACCGTGGTCGCTGAAGGCAGAGGTGTTTTAGTCATCTATGCAGCCCTTGTACCTTAGGAAAGTGCTGACAAGCTCAATAAACATTTACTGAATAGTTGTTTATTGGAGGACCTTTTATAATCAGAGCAATTTAAGAGATACAAAGAAGCAAAAGAAACCATTTGTTTTCAAGGAACTTAAAACTGAGTTGGGGAGACAGATGTGTCCAGCAATTAACTAAAACCAAGCACTAGTTTAAGGGTTAAAATAGAGTTACAAACAACCAACTATGAAGATAAGGAAGGTTTTGGACCCTTGAGATTTCTCATTCGTTTTGTTTCCTAGTTCAGAATCCCCATATTGGAATGCTGCTATGGGGTATGTGCACCTGGTTACAAGGATTCAGCTTCTTAGGATCTTTCACAGAATTTGATTCATGACTTTTCTTTTGTCTTTCTGCTGGCAGTTGCCCTAGGAGTACCTGCCATTTAGTCTTAATTGGTGTCTGTGAAATACTTGTCCTCCTCTGCTGAAAGGCTATAAGTGTTGAGCATTATTACTGTTACAGTGGTTGCTTTATTATTAAAGCATTGCCAGTGAGGTTACACAACAGCTTGGATCAAGAGGCGAAACAAGGGTGGTGATCCCACTGAAGGTACAGGGGATGGGGATTTGGGATGGTAAAATGTTAATTATCTGAGATGAAATGCGGGCTAGAGTCCAGCACTGTGCTCCTAGAGATCATTTCAGTCCCAGAGGTTGGAGCTGGCTCTCTAGCAGTGGGCCCTAAACACCCTGTCCTCCCCTGGCTGGAATGTTGGATTCACTTCGCTGAAAGCTGCCACAGAGAAAGAATCCAATGGCCACAAGCCAGGAACACACGTTCTGCACAGCATCAGGGGCTACTCTGGAAGCTTTCCAAGTGCTGAAGGGCTGTTCTATTTGCATGCAGTAAATTATTTATTTCTAAAGCGATTTTTTTTTTCTTTATCTCTCTTAAGACTTTTTCTCGTTTCCGGACCTTTGAGGGCTCTCTTCAAAAAGTGAGCTGGGGATGGATGGAGGAGGGTGATGGGGAGGCAGGCTTCAAACAGAAAGCTGGTAAAAGTGTCCATTTACTTATAAGGCTGAGAAAATGAACATAGAGGTAGATGGGCTTCTGGTCAGGAAACATGACTGTTTACTTTAGAGTGGGTAGTTATGGGTGCTGGAGAGGAGGATGCGGTGGAGGCAGTGACAACCTATCCATAGCTTTAGTCCCCAACAATGTCACCTCCAAAACCGATGGAGGAACTAGGTTCTGAATGAAACGTTTTTGAGGTGTTGGGTTGGCTGATGGGTACAATTCTAGGCTAAGGGAGAGGCACTAAAGTACAGCAAGAAGAGCGAAGGCTGGAGTCAGACAGACCTGGGACCAAATGCCCGTCTATCAACTACTTTCTATTTAGGTGACCTTGGGCAAATTTCCTAACCTCTCTGGGACCTTAATTCCCTATCTGTAAAATCCAGAGAATGTAAAACTCACGGGTTTAACCAGATAGTCCCTGTAAAGAGCTCTGCACAGGAGCTGGCACAAAGGAGGCTTGCAATGAAAGGTAGCCGTTACTACCGTCAACTACAGGCCGAAAGACCAGATCCGACCCAAACTCCCTAGCAAACAATTAACCCTAGCACAGCGAATCCAGATCTAACTGACGCGTCTATTTGCCCAATAAGGTACCAGGAAAGAACTCAGTGGAGACAAACCAATGGCATTAGCCCTTATTGTTGGACGAGCTTTCTTGCCGTTCCTCCAATAGTTTGAAGATTTGACTAGGGAGTGACATCCTGACAGCCCAATGACGCACAACCAGCCCACACTCAGCACTTCGGAGGGGATAAATCAAGGAGCTGGGACGTATAGATTCCGTTATTAGGCAGTACTGGATGGAGAGAGGAGCTTAGGGGAAACAGCGCGAGAGCGAGGCACTAATGAGCTAAAAAAAGAAAAAAGATGATGGTTGCGCCAAACGAGCTCGGCCGCCATCATGCTCTAGTTTCCCCTTCGCCTCTCCCGGTCCGCGACCGAGGAAGCGGCCTCTGGGACGCTGAGGGGGTGTGTCCCCGAATGATTGGCGCAGGCAGCTCAGCCAATGCTAGTTCGTCAAACGGGACGCACTTAACCAATGAGGGGCGACGGCAGCGGCGAGGAATTGGAGGGGCGGAACAGCAGCTTGACGGCCACAAAAGCCAGCCAGTGAGAGCCGGCAGCATCCTCCCCGCGGCCAATGGAGTGGGGCCCTGGGCGGGCCCCCGAGTGTTTGTGTTGTGGTTTTGGGGGAGGGAGGCGGAGGGGAAAGTTTGTTTATTTTGTTTTTAGTTTCTGGGGTCCCCGTGTTTCTCTGAGGTGAAGCGGGAGGGAGTGACCCCCCGGCGCCCCTCAGTCTCTCTACTACGTCGCCTCCATAGCCTGCGGAGAAGCGGGGACCGCGCGCATCGCAGCGCATCGCCTCTCAGCGGAACGCCGCGCACTCGGAGCCGGCACGGCTCGGCGGTGAGTGAGGACCGACGGCCACTGCCGCCCTTCCCCTCCCCCGCTCACCGCCCTGTGGGAGCTGGGCGGCGGGGTGGGCGAGGACGCCCGCGGGAGCGCGCGACGCGGGCCGGCCTGTCAAGCTGAGGCGCAGCGTGTGCGTGTCCTCGCGAGTGAGCGCGCGCGGCGGGGAGAGGGCCGGGAGGGGCGTGAGCGCGCGCGGGGCTGGCGGGGGCGGCGGCTTCGGGCGCGCGCTCCGTGGGGTTGGCGTCTGGTGGGTTTGACCCTGGGGCGAGGAGGGACGCGGGCGACGTCCGCGCGCGGGGAAGGGGGCGCCCCGACTGGCAGGGCCAAGGCGGGCCGGGCGGGCGCGCGCGGCTCCGGGCGTCACGCGCCGGCAGGTGTGAGCTGGGGGAGGGCTTCCGGGTGGGCTGGTCGAGTTCGCTTCCCGTCGCCGGGGGACCTCGGGGCAGGGAGGGGTCCTGTCGCGGCAGGGAGCCGAGGCCCGCGGAGGCGCGTCGGGGCCCCTGCCCGGCGGTGGCAGAGGGAGGCTCAGGCCTCGGAGCCTCCTGGTCCCCACCTGTGTGCAGGACCTGCCTGACGGAGTGAATGCGTTCCCCTGCTCAACCCAGGCCGGGAGCTCCCCACCCCACGCCTCACCCCAGAGCCCTGCGTGTGTCGCCACCTTTTGAGATTCACTTTCCACGAGGAAAGGAGGGGCAAGGGGAATATCAGCGGACGACTAGCCCAAAGTGTCTTCTGCCGTCCCCTGGACCTGCGCCCTTTGGTTTCAAACTAGCTGGTTTGCCACAGTGGGCTTAAATACACTGTAGTGGCTAAAGACACCCTATAAATCTCGCCTCTTGTCGGGCGCCTTAAGGACCATCAGTTCTTTGAGGATAGAGTCTTTTACAGGCTCCTTGCTTTCCGATGTATCTATTTGGCTGTTTTATTACTTTTTAGCGTCTATGCTAGAGATTGAGCGAAGGATAAGGTGAATTTCAGTTTTGTTTTGTTTTTTTGTGAAACACTATAAGCAAAATTATACAACTAAATTGGCCAGAGATGTTTCTTCACAGTGAATAAAACGTCATTAATTGCTGCCATCCCCTCCCACCCCCTGGCAGCAGTTAGGCAAACAGAAATGAGATGTATAGGAATCTTACATCTTACCATTTTGTCGAAGTGTAACAATAGAGACTTTCCTTCCTAGTTGTGGGGGATTTCAGTAGGATGATAGTTTACTGTTGCTTTGGAGGAGCATCTTGGCTTTGAAACTGTTTATTCTTTTGGTAGTGTTATGTAAATACCTCTTAAAAAGCAGAACTTTTAGCATGTTGGCACCTCTGCAGTGTGCAGTATCACTGTAGCTAGATAGTGGGGGAGATGTGAATGTCGTAGGTCCGTATAGTAAGGCAAGTATCCAGAACACAAACTGGCTTGTTCCACTTGGGACGCTTGGGTGGTAATAACGATACCTTTATAGTTTTTTAGTTCTTGACGATTTTTAAGTGCTTGTCGTAAACATCATTATTTGAGCAGAATAATTTCTGATAGGACTTAAGGAGAAGAAATTCCCTAGCTGATTTTATACGTAGCACATAAATATCATGCCCTTGGTATGGGAAGTAATTTTTTTCTCATTCAAATGGAAGCACTTAAAAATGTTTTAAATCAGAACAATACCATTTGTTCGAATGGTGGTAATAATGTTAGCTGACCTTTTTTATGTGCTTGGCATATGCCAACCTATTTATATTTTTTACCTAATCCTTACCTCGGGCCTGTGGGGTAGGTATCATTATTATTTTATGAATTAGAAAAAGAGCCTCCAAGAGCCCCACAGCTAGGAAGTTCGAGGGTACAGGTTTAAAGTTTCTGGTTTCAAAGCCTGTGCTTGTTCCATTTTGTCCCCTAAATTATCCAGAGGAAGAAATACAGAAAAGTAGAGAGGAATGGAAAAGGGAAATGCCACTGATGATTAGGTTGCCCATACCTAACTGAAGAATTTAATTAAACTCATTCTTAGTTTCTAGAAATTAAAAACATTTTTACCATTGTTACATCTAAGCTTTGTTTTAATTTCCTCTCTATTTAATTTTCATGAAGATAAATCAAAATGCATTTAACCCAGAGGTCAAGGCTTTCAGAGCCCTTTGTGTGGATCTCCACTGCGGTACTTTGCTACTGTGATTAATCCAGGGACCAGGCGTTACTCACTTTTGTATCCAGCAGCGTGTTTGGCATATAGTAGGAGCACAGTAAATATCAGTTGACTAAGGAGCAGAATTAAAAATGTAATGACTTTGGGTTCGTTTTAGCAGTTTTAACGGGACAAAAAGAAAATGAATAGCTCATGTGCAAAAGGCATGATCTCAAGACTACTTAAATGGAGTAATTTATAGTCTTGGAAGTTTGGCTCTGCTAGTTAGCTAAATCTCCCAATTCTCCTTATTTGTTTGAGCTCCTGTGTGGTTCTGTTCTTCATTCACCTCCAAAGTTCTAACAGAGGAGGCTATACTGACTGTTTCCCTTCACTACTTAGTTACTCTTTGAACCTTTGCAGCCTGTCTTCCAACCTCACCAACACACACTGAGGCTTTTTCCAAGGTTGCCAATTACCTAATGGTTAATTTCCCAGATATACTTTCAGGCTTTATCCTGTTCTGTTTGGTCTCCCTGTAGCTGTCAGCTCTTTTGACCACTCCCATCCCTTAAAATTTCTATAATTTTTAAAATGACATATAGTAATATTGACTTACAGTGTGTGTAGTTTTCTGTGAATGTTAACCCATGTGACCACCACCACAATCAGAGTACAGAACAGTTCCATCACCCTCAAAAGTTTCCCCCATACTTTATCCCTTTTGATAGCCCTTTTTCCTGACTTCTGTCCCAGAGAGAAACAAACACTAAGGATCAGACTCAGGCTCCTTTTGTTGCCCCCCCCTCCTTGAAAATGTTATCTACTTTTGGGACTTTATCTATCTTCTAACCTGAGTGTCCATGGCTGATCTCTCTTCTGTTCTCTAAATCAACATCCATATTTACCCACTGGAATTCTTCCCTGGTCCTTCATGCTCAGTATGTTTAAAGTTGTGCCTCACTTTGCCTCTCAGCTAATGCCTCCCAAGCCAGCTCTCCATCCAATTTTTCTGTATTTTTCGGTGGTGCCATCCTTCTTCCAACCTTGCAACCCTGGAACACTTGGAGGGCCTTATATTACACTCTGTTATCCCAGATCTGGTATCCTGCTACTCAGCTCCAAATACTGGCTCCTGCCTCTTGGCTGCCAAGCCGGCTTCTATTCAGTAGGCTGAGTGGAGCACAGGTAGTTGGACCACTTCCCTGGTCAAAACCCCTCATGGCTTCCCACTGCACTTAGACCCGTTTGGGATTTTATTTTTCATTCTGTGAGGCTTTGCAAGATTTAACCTCTGCCTGCCTCTCCAGCCTTCTCTCACCTTTTTATGGCTCACCCCCCCACCCCTTCCCGACGTTCATACTGCACAGTCTTCCTTTCAGTTCTGTGAACTACCCAAGCCTTTTCCAGCCTTAAGGTTTTTGACCATACCACTCTCCTGGTGTGGGCTGTTCTTCCCCCGTAGTCTTCACTCACCTGACTTTAGGGTTCCAATTAAATTGTCACTTCTTCAGAGGGGCTTTCCTTTATGACCTCGTCCACTACTTCCATCCACCCTCAGTTAGGCCTCTCAGAGCTCCTGTTCTTTTTTCAGAGCTTTCACCACAATTTGTGATTCAGAACCGTGTCTTTTTTGCTTCCCAAATGTCCAAAGCCGAGCCAAGTAAGAGGCATACAGTAAACTCTGGGTGAGTATTTGTTGGCTGTTTGTGAGTCTAGGCTTTTGCTTTTATAATTTATTGCTATTTTGTAGTTTCTGGTGGCCTTGCTTTCTACCTTCTACCTTCTCTGGGACTTGATTCCACTGGTGGAGGTCTTTCCACATGGAGATCGATCTGAAATTGCTAAGGAGGACACGGATCCGGTCTTGATCCTCTGCCTGGAGCCCTTACCAGCGAGCCAGGTCTAACCTGGACCTAAACCGTGGCTGGCCTTGCCAGTCCGCTGAGCAGTGCACCTTAGTTATCTGGGCTCACGTCAGTGCTTGCAGCTGTTACTCTTCCCTCACCTCACCCTGGCTCTTGATTTCCTCCTCCTCTCTCCACCCAGCCTGGGACTTCCAAAGACCTTGTATACTTTCCAGCTGAGCCTGCTCACCCTTTGACATTTGCCAGCCTTTTGACATTGACTAGTGCCTCTGGTATCTTGACCCTACAGATTGCCCCCACACTGGTCTTCCTGAAACAGTGCTTTGTTTATGTTTCCTGCCCCCTCCCCAAATGTACCACAAGCGCTTAAGTTTGAAAACCTTCAGTTGTGTTTCATTGCCTCGAGGGATTAAACTCTAGCTTGTTATTTAAAGCTCTCTGGACTAGCACTGTGCAGCAGAAAGAGAATGCAAGCCACAGATGTGAGCCACATATGTAATTTAAAATTTTCTAGTAACCACATTAAAAAGGTAGAAAGGGTGAAATTGATTTTCATAACACTTTAATTACTTCAGTATATCCAAAATATTATGTAAACATGTAATCGGTAAAAAAAAAAATTGACACGCTTGACATTTTTTTCATGTGAAACTCTGAAACCTAGAATGTATTTTTTACTTAATACGTGTCAATTCAGACTAAGCACATTTCCAGTGCTCAGTAGCTCCATGTGGCTAGTGGCTACCACGTGGGGCAGCACAGCTCTAAAACCGTGTCCTCAGTATTGTTGGAGTGTTATACCTGGGTAATTAACCACCACTGGCCTTTTGGTAACTCTGTTCCCCTTCCCTAGTACCAGCTCCTTATCCAAATATGCTAACCTACCTTGCTGAGACACCTAAGACCATCCCTAAACTTCAGTTCTTACTATCTCCTCTGAGTCACTTTAACATTAATTTTTGTATGTCATTGTTTTTCCATATAGCAATTACTTATAATATTTATCAGTT